GATACAAGATACAAGTTACTAAGAGTTACGAGAAGGTATAAGCTACTAAGCAACATAAGCGTCAGTGCGACGTTATACTTCGTATCCCGCGCATCTCGATTCGCGTCAAATTCAATCCTATTTCTACATTTCTAAGTCGAGTAAAGGCGTATACTATTGTAGCGTATAGAATAAGCAATTATAATTATATTGTTATTAAATAGAGCCAGTGTTCACTTACATTACCCTTCCTTAAACTATTAACTAAGTACAATTCGATTCGCGCTAAAATCTTCATAATTAAAATCTTTATACTGCTCTTCGCAACATTCACGAAGGATGAGAAGGACAGGAAGGAAGCTTTCCACACTTTACTCCAAACTGAGCGTACTGACGGTGATCTATATCAACGATATCGTTACCAGTCAGCAACGAAAGGTAGGACATAATATAATACTATTTCCAAATCGACTACTGATCATTAGTTTACCAAATTCATTCAAGCAACTAAGTGCTGCGTAGTTGAATTACACTGCGTACGCAGTAGTTGCCCGAAGGTCTGGATGTCTTATAATCAGAGAATTGCCTTTGAATACAGCTCTACGAATTAAAGTTGAATTACACCTTAATTCACGTGGCTACTTTCAATCGACATTCACAGTCATCATTACACTGTAAATTGTCGATAACCAGACGAGTGGTAGTTGTAACGTGGTGAGAACATTAAGTTGAGTTACACTTGGTGTGCGTTCGCTCGTTTAAACTGCCTCATTATCCGTTAATCGACGCTATCCCTCTTAACTAGATTTCTGCCCTGAGAGTTGAATTACACTCCCGCGGGTTGAATCTTCCTCATTAGGGAAGCTTGCCACAATCGCCTTGCATGTCGACCACACGTGAAACTGTTATTAACGAGTTATCGTCGGAACATTCTCCGCACATTCTCCGACTGAATCGCGAAACGTCCATTGCTGCATGACCACTTACTTCTACGTCAACGATAACGTTATATGCCAACGGTGTTTTGAGAATACTAATAGCTCGT